AAACCATGACGAAGGACATCCAAATATAAACCTACTTACTAAGTCCTCCTGACCCTCCAAGTAGTGTTTGGACTTCAGGGGTTCAGGGTAGGTGCATAGGCTTTAGGGAAATATAGTTCATGGCCTGATGTTCCGCGTTTGGGCCAAGGAACTGGGGTTTTGGACGTTGCCTTTGTTGACGAATTAGACGTGTTGGTATACTTGCATGATAAGCCCCTTTGTTTGAGGTATGCCAGGTGCTGCTATACAATGTCCGGACATTCGCACACATGGCCTCTCGCAGTTCGATGTTGTCCAGGGATTTCTTCAACTCATCCTGCATTGGTAGAGGGTGCCGGGAATTTGGAAAGGGGTTATAAGGATGATTGCCGGGGTTCTTCGTCGTGGGGATTACCTCGGAACTGCTACGAGGGTTTAGGGTTTAAAGACGAAGTTGGCAAATGCATAAGCACACAAAACAGCCCTGGTGCTGCTCACATGCACCATGACTTCAATAATAGCAGCTGAGTCGACATGATTGAAGCCATGAATGACCTGAGCCAATTCTCAATAGGCTTGCCTTGGCCACACCAATATCAAGCTTTCCGTCACTTTAAGTTGCGGAGTACACAGAATTCCCGAAAGACGTCGTCTGCGCCCACTCCGCTGCCAGAACAACATCATCACACTTTTCACGCGCACATCCAAAGCCCTGTTTCAACAGGGATATGTGAATCTCACTTTTACAGTCATGCTAATAAAAGGTAGTCACCTTGCACCTAAACACTCCTCACCACCATTCCTCAAACGTCCCCCCAGTACATAACGTCTCTCATAGATAGTACCTAGCATTAACTGTTTCAGGGTGGTCGGGCAGGCTCGAGGATCTGGAAGTGCTTAAAAGGAATGGAAGAAGCAATAAAACGCATAGGGTGTAGTAAGGGAGGCTCTTGCGTGCTTAGTAGTACGTAGAGAGGACTAAGATGTCCCGCTCCGGTGCTGTAGCGGCTTGCTAGCTAGAGAGAGAGAGAACTCAAGTCCCAAAACAATAAACAGCCAGCCAAGGCCAGTTGTGTGGTAAAGAAGCCATCAAATGCTGACTACAACTGTGATTCTCTTGTGGTCCTGCTGATCATTCTAAGCCCTGAACCCCCTAAACTCTAATCTTGTTCGGGTGAATTTCCCGTGAACCCACTGGTTTGAAGCCATGGTCGCAGGCCTTGCATTCTGGATTCCAGATCAGAAATTTCTCAGAATACGGGTACCCAAAGTTCAAAGCGACCCTGGGAATAGAGTTGTTAAGTGTATTCTGTGGGTCTCTGTTGGGATTATACACGGATAGTCTCCGAGGTTTTCTGTATACCTGCTTAACAGTGCAAGTACATGGTAGCCCATGCACTTAAAGGCCGTATCCTCTGCCTGTATGCCACAGGCTTATGCTAACTTACCCTGAAAGCCCGAAAGTTCAGAAAGCCTACGAAGTGAAAGGTCGCTAGGTGTTGCACGGACCTCTTTAGCCAAAGCCTCTGTTCACATTGTGTGATCGATTCTAAACCTCCCCCTCCTCCCCCTCTCACAAAAACATATCTCAAACACGGCCTGAATAAGGTCTATTTGAGACTTACTTTGGGAAGGGTGTGTTAGGGTGTGTTAGGGGTATTGCTGCAGCCTCCCAACCCTAAACCCTAAACCCTGAACCCTAGATAGTAGTTTCCATTTTAATTTCCATTATCCCAATATAACCCCAACTTGCCGAGGTCCTTCTGCTTGTTGAGCTCCTCGGCTTCCCTGAGTTCAGCCATGGCTCTGAAATCTCCGATGCGACGCCAGACGGTGAAGTACAGGTAAACCACCTTAGACCACTTGGTATGGGCTGTATATACTGTAGCCCCCTGCACCTGTAACAAAAAGTACTATTCTTCACAATTCTATAAGGTGATATTATCAATGAAGTTGCGGTAAACCACCTTAGACCACTTGGTTTGGGTTGTTCTGTAATCCCTCTGGGCCACTACAAGATTTTAAAGGTAAGTTATTCATACTAACCCCTTGAGGCCACATAGATTAATAAACATGCACAAAGTCCTGAGGAGACTACAGTATTGGGTTTGGCGCTTGGGGCTGCGGGTTCGGGTTCTGGAAACCCCAAAAAGCCAAAATTGTTTTAGGGTTGTAGGCCCCCCAAACTGTAGATCCAAAAGCTTTCACGTAATTACTGTCATGTGAGGAGGGCATTCCAACATTCCTTTGTTAATGGGATCCTAGGTTTTTCTTGAAGACAAAACCGGATAGCCGTACTGTTCCAAATCCTGGGCACTGCTGCAGCCAAAGCGACGAAAGTGTAAAACATGAAGAGTGAATTCGGACCGGTGATGGCGCTTCTGAAATCATCTAAACCATTTCCGACTGGATCAAATATCGGCTCTACAAGACGCTCGTGCAGGATGTTGCGCAGCAGGTACGAGTCGAGATACATTTGCACTGGGACGCCCAGGGCAAACAGCCAGGAGGCCACGCTAGCAGCTCCTGCGATGTAGATGCCTGCGATGAAGCAGCCACGCTTCGCCCGTTCAGCGTGCAAGAAGTGCATCTTGAGGCACCATTCTAAACAGAGCGTGCCGAGAGCGCAGCAGAAGACGAAGTATACTAAGTGCAACAACCCCCCGTACCCCCAGTTCGCTGTAAACACTCTGAAGCAACCGTCGTGAGTGAAATTCATTCGGGGGTCGTCCTTGCCCAGCCAATTCCCTTCATAGTTGAGGGCCCAGAACCCTGTCACGCTTGCATACCCGTCTGCAAGGCTAGATAGAAAGATGCCAAGCCTGCAGTATGCCACCGTGAGGTTCGTTGCGTTCATCATCATGTAGTCGGCTCCTCTAAAAGTAAGCCCTGCATTTTGCATGTAGAGAATCACCACATCCGTCAAGGAAGCCGAGATATTGTTTCCAAGAACCACCTGAGCAGCTGCATGGTTTCAATGCGCATTGCACTAGGCGGCTGGTGCATAGCACTTCGAGGGCCCGCACCCATTCTCAAAACCTAGATAAGACAGACTCAACATAAGTCATGCTACTGAATCGAAGCTGTGATGGTAGCAACTATCAAACTAAGGTCCACGCCCCGTCTTTGAAAGATTGAATGTAGACGGACTGCAGCTTCAACTTGCCGGGCATGCCTCGCTTGTACCTGTCCCCAATGATTACGGCAGTGCCCCTATCCCCGCCATCATCGAGGTTCTGCTCCATGTGACACTCGCTGATACTCACCGAAACAAGAGATGTTGAATCAGCACTGAAAGCGCTTTTCGCAAATATACGGGACTGGCTGACCTGTAGCTCTGGTTGGCCATCTTTCAGTTCTACGCAAATATCTTTGCACTTAGCCTGGACCCGGTGCATCACAATCTGCGAAGTGCTGTTGAAGACTCTGAAACCTGATCTGACATCCAGCGAAGACTCCTCCACCGTCACACTCAGGTTCTTTGCTTCCTCCGCAGCTGCATCCGTCGATATGAGGCTCCTAGTGATGCTCACTTCTGCATCCACGCCGGGATCTAGCTCCAGCCAGTGAGGTTCAACCATGCGGAGACTGTCACGGACGTGGCAGTTTACCAGCTGAAGCTTCACCTTCTCAAAAGGCGCAGCTGTGATGACGCCGGTAAATGACAAGTTCTCCAAGCGGAGGGAGGCGCCTGCGCCTAGAACTATGGAACGAATCTTTAACTCAGTGAGTTGCTCTGTCAGGCCATTATCAGAAACGTACTTGTAGTCTGGCAGGTTGTGAGCTTGCACATACCTTGGGTCTAGCAAGTCCTCACTGAGACCAGCAATCTTCAGCCCGGATCCAACACCAGTAATCACCATAGATAGATTTCCTGGCACCGTCACTGACCCAGGGATTTGCCGAAGCCACGTGAGGTTCCCCAAGCATAATGTTGCATTGGCCAAATTGTTCCTCAGCTGCGCGTGACTTATCTACTTCCTCTGCTTACCCCCTGCCCCAGTGTGTAGAGTATTTGGTAATTTCTCAAAATAAGGGGACCCCAATATAGACCCCCATACACTACAATCCTTAGTCCAGTTTGGCAAGGTTTTTGACAAGGTCTCTTGAGGCAAAAGACCCTTTCAAGAGGTGGCTGGAGCACAGAACCCATGAGTGCATGGACACTGCGGTTTATGGTTTAGGGTTCCGTGTTTGGGGTTAGCAACATCAGGAGCTGCTTGGCAGCATTAACGCATGCAGTGTGCCTGCTTCTACTGCTGTGCTGCATGGCAGACTATCAAAAACTGTGCATGGGATCCTCCAAACGCACATTTTCCTCTGGGTCTAAGGAACCTCCGGCATCATGCGATAGTTTCCATACATGGGGAACCCTCATATTCCCTCAATGTACTATACTCCGTGTTATCTGGAACCCCCCATGCTGCTTTGTACATTAGGTGGGCCCCCGCCGTGTAGTAGTGACTATAAGGAATAATGGTAACTATATTAGGGTCCTCTTAAATTTATATTATACCACTACTACATTGTGGGAGGTCCACTTAACTTATACACGTCAATGCCGGAAAAGCGGCTTTTAAGCTTCCGTGGTTTGGCCTAATTCGAGAAACTGTGAAGAAGCCCTCTCTTGGAGGCTCGCTTGACTGATATGGGGTGTGCGAATATAAACAACTAGGGGTTATATCAGGGCATATTAATCATTATAGAGGGAGCAGAGCTTAAGTGCTAGGGTTTCCTGCTTGGAGGCTCTCTTGACTTAGTACGTCTACTTAATCACCCAGATTAGTAGGAGATTTTGGGGATGGTAGGTAGGCTGCCTAAGTCAACCCTAAACCCTAAACCCCGAAAGATCATCCAGGCAGAAATCCATCCCCACCAGGCCAGCCTCAGAGAGGTTCCAGACCCTCTCATGCTACAGCCCCCCCGTAGACAAATAGAATATGGCTTTGGGTATCATAATAAGATCCCAATATATCCCATATTCTATCTACTTAAGGTGGACTATAAGCACACTTCCTGTGCGTATTCTGGAATCTTGGGCAGGTTCCCTGATCATCCTTGCGAAGCCTCACCTTCCCCATCTTCTGCTCCCCCATTCACCTTGATCTTCATGATATATGCCTCATAAGCCGTTTCCCCTATTCCCTGCTACTCAACCAGGGTATGTAAGTGAATCCCCGAGCTTCCACTCGCCCGCAGGTAGTTTGCATCTCATCTCTTCGGGCTCAGTCACCTCTGGGACCTGGAAGGATTCAGGGATAGGCGCGTGCGCGCGGGCGGGCTAACACGTAATTCTGGGAGCTGACTTTAAAGTACAAACTTCCAAAAAAGCAGTCTACAGACAGCAGCAGGATACATGATTTTGAGCCTGGTTGGCCGAGTTCCAACTCTAGATTTAAGTTTTCAAGGGCACCGTAGGCCAAAAAAGAAAACCCCGCAAACATCCAAACGGCCCTCCTGCAGGGCCGGCGGTGTAGAAGTACTCTCAGCCATGGACGTTGCATCCTCGGACAGGCATCTCTAAGGGATTTGGAACCCCAGTAGAAATTATAATTTCAGCTAAATATTAGGATTGTTGGTAACAGAAATTAATCATCATTTTCAGGAACCTTGTAGGCATCTGCTTGATGCAACGTTGAGTCCCCACCCTCTCCCCCGACCCTGCGGGCCGCCATCCTATCATCCTATCCTGCAATGTTACGGGTCCCTCTTTAAAGCTTTAGAGCGCTTTCGAGCAACGAAGGGGGGCTTGTCAGATTTAGGATTTGATGCGCCATTCCTGCTGGCCTCTAACAAGTTCGGAATGACGGAAATCAATTGCTATGGGGGATAGTACGAGCGGACCATGGCGATTCCAAACTGCAAGGCTTACTTATCCGTACCTGCAGAGCAACTGCATCAGCACAGGCTTTTAGAAGCCAGCAGGTAGAGCAGGTTGAGGCATGGCTGGTTTAGGGTTAAGGGTTTAGGACAACCCCACCGGGTGCCTCAGAACTATCCTACAGAATTACCCTGCAATCCAACACCCTATTGGTGAGCACCAGGGAGGAAGTGTCACACCTTTCGCTCTGAGAGCCCTAGCCAGGTTTGAAAATCAATCCGTATGTATCCCTACAAGCCCTCAATTTCATGTCATTTCCCATTTTCTATTCCATGATTGGGTTATGACATGGGGTACCCGGTGGGTCTGAACCTGTGTATGTTTCATGAGGAGAAATAACTCAACTCATTACCCTGTATCATCCCCATGTAGTCCTCACATACTCCTTGTATAATAAGGGATTTTCATCCCAATATAATATTCCCTACTAAACCCCCAGTAGGATCATGAATCATGCGGCAGACCAAAAACAGTCCTAAGAATCCGTGGAGAGGCCCAACTTCTGAACCTTCATCCCTGAAAAAAGCCTAAACCCTAGACCGCACAGATTTTAAGCCCTAAACCCCCAGAAGCTTCAGCCCGACTAGAATCCTTAACATTAGATTTGGAGGTTTCCCAAAATTGGGGGTTCTTATCGGGGTCCCCCCATTTTGGAAGACTACCATTTTTGATGTAAGACTTCGGACCTTCCACTGTTGCCAGGCCTCCAGCTCGAGTCTGGCTGCAGCTTCAGAATCTTCGCCCTTGGTACTATTCAGGTTCAAGGCTTACAAGGCTAACTGGGCCTGAAGGACTGGAAATGCTTGGACAGCTTAACTAGTGAGGTCAGCTCAGAACTTCCTAAAGAATTGCGGGGTATGATCTTCTCCCATCGCCATGTTGGGTTCAGGGTATTGTTGCCCACTTGGAACTGTGCATATAAGCACTTGCAGTAGAAGCCCCGCAAGCCCCCTATCATACTAGAGCCCCTCTTTTAACAGGAGAGTCGTCTTTACAGGATCCCTTTGCAGGTTCCATGTAAGTCGGCTTTCGGTCGATGTTGCTCTTTTAGTAACCGTTTGTTGTTGCTGGACAGGTAAGGGGTCATGTGGGGCAACTGCAGGCATCAAACTGGCTCTTGGACCTCTTAGATGTTTTTTGGTATGGCCGGGTCTGCTATCAGGGGTTGCCAGTTGCTACACATCCAGATGCAGGTCTGCGTTTTGCAAAGTGCAACTGCTGAAACTGAAAAGAAGGGCCACCCTAATCCTCCAGCAGCTCTGCACACTTCCGACCAAATGAGCAATGAGGGAATATACGTTTGTATGCATGTATATACGCATGCATATACATGATATTGGGATTATGTCGACTCCTTCCTGATTATGTAAGGTTTATCTTCTCTTATACCCTAATCAAGGAAGTTGTAAGGGAATACTGGGCAACTTCGTGCCGGGACGTGGTCATGCTTCTCCCGTGCCTCACCCAAACCCCACTCCTCACGCCAAAATTAACCACATATTCTGGAACCCTGCCCTCAAGCACTAAACCCCACAGCCTTGCCCCTAGGCCGTGAGCGCCTAGACCCCCAAATCGCAAACCTCAAACCTTGAACACAACACCTTGTTGAGCAGCGCTGTATCTGTGGTTGCGCCAAGTAAGATCATGTCCTTCTTGTAGGATATTGTACCCAACACAGAGGAGCCTATCTTATACTCTAGATTGGGGACTATGGCAAGTACCGCCCATTAACACTACTAGTACTAGTACTAGTACTAGTACTAGTACTGCTACTACTGCTGCTACTACTACTACTACTACTACTCATGCTGAGACCCATTGCAAGCCGAAGCACTCGCAGGGCTGAGCAAAGGCAGGCTGCTTGTAGACTTAAACACAGCGCCCTGCCGGAAATGTTGGAGAATAGGTTGAGAAGAGTCCCCAAAACCCTTACTAAAAACATAGTTCTTATGAACAAGGGTTCGAATCAAAAAGCACATGCTGGGTAAAAACCATGTCCAGGGTTGGGACTGCAGGCGGCGCGTCTCCAAAACAAAAACCCGAAAACGCCACAATGATAAGATTTCCGAAGCAGTGAAGCACCCTCCCGCAGTTCCGAAGCAGTGAAGCACCCTCCCGCAGTCATTTAAAGCATGACTTCAAAAGCACTCTGTCTGAGCCTCTGCAGGGCCATGGCTTAGTATGTAGTCATAGTTGGCAGACAGGGCAGAGTCTGCTAAGTTTGTTGTAGGCCCGCCTAAAGGCCTTGAGCCATTCGGACAGCAGGAGACGTCAACTGGTTCCTTATTGGGTTCATCAAATGCCAATTATTCGTATGCTCCCGATGGCGGATCTTCTTTGGGCTCTGTATATGCATACTTATGTGTATGTTCCCTATTCGCTTTGAGAGGGCCGAAATTTAAACAACGCATGCTGCATGGCTCCTGTCAAGGGGAGTGGTACCTCCAAGTTGGTTGACGCGCGCGTGTCACTGCGACGTGGCAACGTTCCAGATTCCAACACTGCGGGTTAAGCCGTTGGGGATTGCCAGCACTGTCTTCAGAAGCTACCCGTCCTTCCCCATTCTACAACGTGAAGCTCAGGAGGTATAGTCTTGGCAAGGCAAGGCAGCATGGTTCTTACCCCTTACTGGTGAGCAAGCCATTCCCCTTGCCCAGCACCAGAGAACTACTTACTGGTTCTTAAGACTGAGTCTGGTAGTAAAAACTCTCTTCCCCAATAACCAGGGCAAAAAACATTGAAACTTTATTATAGAAACCCAAAAGGGAAGCCCCAAAAAGGTTTAAGTTCTTCTATTGGCTAAGTAAGAAAAAGGATCCTAAGAGGGATTATATGAAAATTTTGGTGGGAACCCCCTCCCTCACACTACCTCCCTCAATCACCAGTAAGCCTGTGGGCTTGATTGCTGCTTGGTGTTGGGTAGCCCACGCAGATCCCTAAAAACCCATACGATAATGTTGGTAAGTAGGAATGTTGGCAAACTAGGACTTACCTCTGGTTAGCAAAAATGAAAGAATGGATCCCTATTAGAAGTTCCCACCAATCCCCAATAATATTATCATCTCCGTTCTTCATCCCTTCATTCCCTGCTAAATTTCACCGTCTTGAGCAGAGGGGATCGACAGCAGCTTCCATAGATTAATTTGAACGGTGCTATGCTTTGCAGCGGCCCACAGATGGGTCTATGCTTTTGAGAAGAACGCATGTGAGTGTAGACCGTGAGGCAGGCTTGGTACACTTACTAGGCTAGGAAGGAATATGAATTGAGAGACCCAGTCGGTTGTCACAATTTCAATCCCGAATAGCACAACCCTAAAACAATTCCGCCAGTCGGACACAGGATCAGCACATCTGCCCTAAACCCCAAACCTCAAACCTTAAGCACTAAACCCTAAATCCTAAACCCTACATCCTAAACTAACTCCAAGTCCTGAGGCCTAAATCCTAAACTAACTCTAAATCCTAAGCCCTGATTTCTACACCCAGCTAATGGGCTATAAGGCTTCCATTTGGAAATGTCGGCTTGACAGATGGAACATAGCCCCAGACAGTGCTTCAGGGTTTAGGGTTTAAGGATTTAGGGTTCTTACATGAACTCCTAAAACAATGGGAGACAGGCCCGAATAGCGCAGCTTTTTTTGCTGTCTATTTCTCCAACTCCCTACTACCCGAAACAGTAGCTCTGAATAATGTAATTAGAGCTTTGCATTGTCTATTTCTTTCCCCCACTCCCACGCGAGAACCAGAAAGGAAAAGGCATGTTGTAGGTTTCCCACCAGGCTTGGCGATCATCCTTCTGAGATGCAAGTGCCTGACACGGTTCCGAACTTGGGTAAAGGGTTTCAACATGCTGCGAGCACCGCAAATCCTAGGGTCGTGGTCTGACTGTTTAGGGCTTGGTGAAGAGGCGTTCATCTACCCCATATTGCAAGGGCCGGAAATATTGAGGCCTGAACCACGACTATAGTTCTAGCGCACCATCATAGCTTACGGTTGTTGAGCCTACTGCTGCGTCATGCTCCTAGGGGATAGACAAGTAGGGAAAAGCAGGGCAATTGACTCCCTTGTGGCTGTTTGCTAACGAGTCGGTCAACAACCATCTCTTCTTCCAAGCACGTAGTGCACACTCCAAAAGATGTATAGTCTACTCGTATTCGCACCCAAAATATGTATACCGTATACACACCAATGTTCTGAAGGAACCGCAGAGAAAATCTTAACAAATACTTTAAGCTTATGATGGGAGCTGAGTTTTATTGGCGTGGAGGAGTGTATCAACATGATGGTCACTCTTTCCCACATACAAAAACAACGACTATGATGCCTATGTTTCCCCCGCCGTGCTTTCCCAGCGCCTGTTAGCTACCCCACCCCTGTCAATAGGAAGAACCATCAACCTGAGCATCCAAAACACCATCGAAAAAACAGCTACTACAGGGGCCTAAATAATTATCAATTTGAGGTCTATTTGACGTACACTAGACCATAAATATATAAGGAATATGGAACCATAATTTTGGTAATTTAGGCCCCTATATTAACAGTTTCAAAGGAGACCTCCAGCTGCCAAAAGGTCCACAAACGTGAAAGAATCCGTATGCCCTATCTGTAACCCAACTACATACAACTTGGTAGTTGGTAGCAACTAGTTATGAGGTAGAACCCACCAAGCTTGAAGTAATTGGGGTTACAAGTCAGCCCTACGTTCCAACTTCAGACCCTAGGCCCTAACCCCTACCTGGACGCTCAGAGCAAGCTTTGCTCTGCTATAATTACCTGGTAGCTACCATGGTGAGGGACTTATGGGGCCTTATGATGGGCTATAAGTACTATGAGCCATAGTCTAAACTCCTAGTATCCCCCTTAATAACCTCTGTCTGGTCCCCTATATAATCCCCAAAATAACCCCCCCTTAAGGAGTTTAGATTATAGTTCATATAACTTCCCTGGCCCTCCAAGTAAAACCTGCAAACCCCGCCTGCGAGCTTCGGGGCGGTGATGTGCTCCAAGGGAGCCTTCGCGTCACGGGCACCTGTCCAATGGAAGATGTGGGGGTTTCCAAGAACTGGAGGTCCATCATAGGAAATGGTTATGATTAGGGAGGACCCCCCACCCCATAATAGTGGTATAATAGGACGATAATAAGACCCTAGTATAATCGCTATTATCCCTTATAGTCACTATTACTGGGTGGGGGGTCCACCTAAGTTATAATACCTAAATCCTGAACCCTAGAAGCTTAGTGCAACTTTTTGAACCCGGCGCCTTATACCCCTATCCGAGACACTGAGCAGCATGTAGTCTAGAGCAAAAGCATGGGCCTGCATGGAAGGCTACAGATCACCAGGTTCCAAAGCCTCAGACCCTCACACGCTCAGGAAGTCATTCCAGCAAATACCGTTCCCCAAACAAGCACGAAACTCTACATGGGCGCTCTTGAAGGGAGCTTTCTCTGTGCAGAGCCGTCTAGGCTTTGCCATGGAGACATTGCAGCATGTTGATTCTTCAAACCCCCAGTGCATCTTCACAAGTTAGAGATCTGCTGCAGCACTCCAAGCCTACAACAATCGTCCCTTAGCAAGAACATGCCAACCCATCCAATCCGTGCAAACATTGACGCAGAAGCGTTGTATGGGCTCTTTTGCAGGTGGCGTCCGTCACTGTCCCTGCCTGGCCTTCAGGGTCTCCCAGACGAATTAGAAAATGGAACTTGCGAGCGTGCAAAATAATTTGCATGCGGTATTCCACAATCTCAGTTTTGGTCGCACATTGGTTGATGCAAGCAAGAGCAACCTAGCTGATTCCTGTAAGGCATCCCATAGAAAGTGGTTGTCCCACTCAGGGTTTTACGAGCAATGGCAAGCTGGCAGCTGCCACAGGCCACTCATATGCTACACTGCCTGACAGCCTAACTTCCGGCCATATAAGCTCTCCTCTTCACAACATTCCTCAGGTAGCAAGCTTCAAAACGAGCAGTGACCATTGGAATGGGTTCTGCACTAATTGCTAGTCGAGACGTGGGCGCTTCACCGCCGGCTGAGGCACAAATGAGTCAAGCAAGTGCAAGCACTTCTTCGCGAATTTGGTTTCGCATCCGTGAACAGAGGCGGTGCTTCCTATCATGCTTGCTTCCCACTTGTGGAAGCTCTTGAGAGACTTCAAAGACTCCTTTGCGCATTCACTTGGCGTTTGGCCCTTGGAAGTCTTAAGATCAGTCCGTGCCCCTTGCATAAGAAGCATCGACACAAAGTCCAACCCAGAGTGGCTACTGCACTTTGCCGCTGCCAAATGCAACGGAGCGTTGCCTTGGCAATCTTGCCGGTTGACATTGCAACCCATCTTCAGCAGCACTCGCCCTGCTGCGATGTGGTTGTTTGCTGCGCATGCATGAAGCGCACACGCCTTGTCGGGGTCTGCACCAGAGTTCACTAAGCTTTCTATCATCTCAGGTGAGGGCGGTTGCATGCTCAGGGTACACGCATCGAACAACTCCTTGTCCTTTCCAACCAAAACCGTGGGCAGCGCTGGCTTCGCAGGTACTGCAACCGTGACCGAAGCTGCTGCGGCTTTGGACATGAAGCCTGTTGGCCGAGTACACAAGCATGAGAACCAGTAGCTGGTGAGCGGCCCTTCCGCTGCAACTTGTTGAAAGCCCATGCGTGCAAAGTGGCGAGCCAGCTTCACGTTGGCTGCATCGCACAAAGCCTGATCTTCATCAGACATGGTGCAGCTTGCACATTGACACCTCTAGCCGGAGCTCCGAAAGGCTCCAGCACAGCCAATGTGCACATGTCGGCACCTCGAAGTTCATTGAAAAGGCCCTCGACAAAATCTAAGCCAAGATCCTTGCCGCGGTGTGCAGGCAGAAGGTGCACCTCGTCAAGATAGAGGAAACCGCCTCGACCTTTCTGCGCAGATTCTTCCTTCACCTTGGCCTTCCAACAGGTTTTCGGGCGGCCCTTGGAATCAAAGAGGTCTACAGAGCACTGCATAAGCTCCTGTGAGACAGCATCACAAGCAGCATAGAAACTCTTCTGCAAGATCTCCTGGTTCATCAGTGCACCTGACATCCTGCCAACAACAGCCCCTGTGTGATCGTAGGCCTGTCCCCCAACCATATATGAGCCAGGATAATCAGACTCTTTCAAGATGTATGAGAAAGTATAATTGCCTGCGCGGGCGTCAAGGCGGATCTCCTCTGTTGACTCCTCGTCATCTTCGCCATCGGGATCGTCACATCGAACTTGAAGCCGAAGATATCTTCGGGCAACTCGCCATCCTCGGTTGGCTTGTAGAGGTTTTCGGGCTAAGGGCTTAGGGTAATCGAGACCCGTGATTAATAAACCCCCTCCCTTTACCAGTACCAGGGATTAAAATAGGGATCCTAATATTAAGGCCCTTATAGGGATGGGGTCTATAAACCAGGGGTTACATCAGAGGCCTTTCAAAAGTAGTAGTACAGAGGATCCAGTCTGAAATCAAGAAGGGAAAGACTTTGAAAATTCTGAAGGCCAACCCAGCAGCCTGTCTTCGCCTAGCAAGCATTCTGCGCGCGATACTACCTGGAACAGCCGAGGTGTCATGAAAAACAAATTGTTGTGAACATCGACTGGGCTGAAGCTGAGGTATAAAGAAACAGGCAAAGATACACGGTAGTGCCCATAAGTATGGGGACCCCAACATGCACTCCCCCAAAACTATAATCCTGAATATTGGGGCCCCAAATTCTGGGACCCTCCGCAGAACATGTTGTCCAACAGAAGGCCGGTGACACTGGAAGCTCAGGAGGTGTAGCCACAGAGCCAGCAAGATCTACGGATGCGGATCGATATGTGTTACAACAGTGGTGTTGATTTTCGGGTTGCAAACTCATGCAAAGTCATGAAGTGAGCGGCCGTATGAAAGCAATGTAAGTAAGCAATAACAGATCGTGCTTGTACCCTTCTCTCTTGAGATGGATGCGCGAAGCGAGCAATCAGAGTGAGGATTCAGGCTCATGCCTCAAAGACCGCAATGCACCCCACAAAAAAGAACACGCGCTTCAGCAAACTCTGCAAACCCTTGCCTGAATCCCATATCAAAGCAAGACCGCTATCTCGAAGAGATGTGTCAACATGCCATGTAGACAATGCCTGCCCGAAGGCCGGGTAGGAAGAGCGCGGCCTGACATTTGCCACCTGTCCAGAGCAAAGATGAATCAATGTTGGCGTGATTGCGGAGAACCGCGGGGAACGCAAAAGCAACGCATCAGAAGTATGTGTTGGGGTTTAGGGCTTCGGACTCTTTATGTTTAGGGTTTACAAGGACTCTTGTGCTGCCACTAATGAAACAGACCAGAGTAAGCAACATGCGACCAGCAGAACGCCATCCTGCTACTTGCAGGGTCATGGGGGACTTATTGATGTTGTCCATCCTCTGGCTTATAGGGGGGATTATGCTAAGCCTCCCTGACCCTCCCGCTGATCTGGGTTGCTGTCAGGAAGCTTAAGCTGAGTTAGCGCAAGATGTATATACAGTTTAGGATTTGGGGTTTAGGGTACCTTACTGCAAGTTCCTTCACAGCAACCCGCCAACCGGGTTACTATAGGGAATACGTATGTGAAATGAGAACAGGGGGTGTGTGTCATATTGGAGCAGGAACTAGCAGGGAAATGCGTGATGTATCCCAACGTGCTGACGGGAACCTCAAGGAGAATAAGGATTCTTCTCCTGCAGGACATCGACAGTGCGATTTCGTCTGATCACCCTGTCAGCCACAGTCAGATGTTAATTTCGGGTACCTTTCTTTAGGATGTCTTGCTGCGGAAGGATTTATGTGATCCCAGCACCCAGTGATAGTGGCCTTAGCGGAAAATGGTCTTTATATTTGAGTCATGCATGTTCCTACGAGCATTATTCTACAGGGTGGGGGGACCACTTGCATCCAGGCCTGTCCTTGCTGGCTCCAAAACGACTAGTCGTTATAGGGACTCTGATATATTTCCCATTATCCTTTGCCATAGTGATCCCGCGAGCCGAATGCGGTGGGGGTGATTACCCAAGGCACGTCCTGAAAGGCATCGCAAAGACACCTGTCAAGGTACCCAGGTTCCTTTTGAAAGGAGAACGTTCTGTACTCTGTAACCCATTTATCTGAACCACCGGCTTCAAGGTTCTTGGCTAGAGAAAATCCCCAACAACCGTCGGCATCCCTGTGAATATGAGCTATAACCCTAAACCCCAAACCCTAAACCCCTCGATAACCTCTGTAACAATAATCCCCGTTCTAATCACCTATAAAACCCCCCTACACCCAATAATCCTATATGAGCTAGAGTCTAAACTTCTTAGTGTGTCATTAAATCTGGGATGATATGGGGGATTTTTATAAGGGCTTATTAAGGGGGATACTAGGGGTTTACACTCGACTATAATTCATATGTTCCTACGGCCCTTTTATGGGGACCTGCCCCCCACAAAATACCCTCCCCAGACTTAAAAACCCTATCATGAAGAGTTCCTGGGTTGTACCCCCAAGGTCGTACCCCAAAAAAGTTTCCCCAAAAGATCCGAATATAGCCCTTCTATAAGCTAATGTAGTCTTCTAGGGTCCCTTAAAAGGATCCCAAAGCCCAGGGGTACAACCCTAGGGGTACTAGCCTCAAACCCTTGATATTGGGCCTGATGAAACCCTATGCAATCCTTGTTAGCTCCTCAAACCCTGGCGGGTAACTTTTGGCAGGGGGCTGGCAGTATATTTCCTAAGCCCTGGTTCCTAACTCCGAAACCCTAAGTCCCAAACCCTAGTTTCCATAGTAATTTCCATTTTCCATTTTCTGTTCCATTCTATTCACTTTAAATGGCATGCTAACCCCCTCTACAACACTATAAACCCCTGTAAAACCCCGATAAAACCCTTTCTATCTCGTGAACCGTAAACCCCCCAAACCCTAAATGGCATGATAATCCTCAACCATAAACCCTGAACCCCTAAACCCCTAAAACCCAAAAACCCTAAACCCAAAAACCCTAAACCCAAAAACTCTAAACCCAAAAACCCAAAAACCCCAACCAGATCCGAAGACCCGCAGCTTTTGACCCACGAAGGCCATCGCGTTGCAGCTGGAGCTCTGAGTTGCAACCCCAGGCTTTTTCAAATGTTTTAGGGATTTCGGATTTTTGAGGGTTTAGGGTTTTTGGGATTCAGGGGTTTTAGGGGATTTAGGGGTTTTAGGGATTTAGGATTTTAGGGATTTAGGGTTTTGGGGATTTAGGGTCTTGGGGATTCAGTACTTCAGGGTCTAGTAGTTTGGCTCCACCTGCGCCAAGTGCCCGGGCTCCACGGGCACTCGCCCATAACGCCGTTCGTGTTCCCAGAGCATACGCTGACCAGAGCATCCATCCCCAAACCATAATCTCGTTCGTGTTCCCAGAGCATACGCTGACCACAACATCCATGCCCAAACCATAATCCCGTTCGTGTTCCGAGAGCATACGCTGACCACCAGAGCATCCATGCCCAAATCATAATTCCGTTCGTGTTCCGAGAGCATCCGCTGACCAGAGCATCCACGCCCAAATCATAATTCCGTTCGTGTTCCAGGAGCATCCGCTGACCAGAGCATCCATGCCCAAACCACAATAACGTTCGTGTTCCAAGAGCATCCGCTGACCAGAGCATCCATGCCCAAATCATAGTTCCGTTCGTGTTCCAAGAGCATACAGTGAC